GCATGACAGAGGAGAAACTGTTCATGGCAGGGCAGCAGGAAGCAGAAAGTGATCAAGAGAGGAGGAGGGAGATATACCCTTCCAGGCCACAACCCAGTGACCTCCTCCTCCAGCCAGAAGTCCTCCTAACTTGGTGGAATAATCCACCAATGTGGATCACAGCCATGTGATCCAGTCACCACCCAAAGCTTCACCTATGAGTGCATGAGGCCTTGGGAGACATCTACATATAAACTACAGCAGGTGGGAAATCAGAAAAGAAAGCCTCTTCTGAGCACCAGCTGCAAGAACTCTTGGGGTGAGAACAAAGTACAGTCTCCATCTCAGCCCCTCAAGGAGAACCTCCCTTCCCCTGACCAGAGTGCTGTGTTCCCAATGGCTGGAGGGCACTTTCAAAGCTGGTACAACAGGGCATTTTCATCGCAGCAATCTAGGGATGAATGGGCCATCATTTCTCAGGCTTTGCACTCACTGCAAGTGCAGGGAGGGAGCAGGTACTCCCTGCCCCAGCACTCAGCCCCAGAAGTAACACCGTGGAAAACGGAGGGAGGGGAGGCAGAAGGAAGGGGTGTTTGTAAGAAAAGCATTTGGAAACTCACCTCCCTGCCTCGCCTGGTCTGAATATTTTATTTTCACTCAGCTATCTGAGGAATCAAAAGCTAGAAAATGACTATTTCTAGATGTGTTAATGGCCTCATGATTTCCTTTCATGTTCTGCTGCAGGACCTAAATTAGCAATAGGCACTTTTATCATCATTGCCCAAGTTGAATTTTTTTGAGAACCTGATAATGGAAACAGAACTTAAATTTGAAATAAATCAGTCTGACTGGCCTCAAGAAAGCTCTTGTTCAAAAGAATGTAAATGTTTATGTGACCAACAGTGTTACATGTTTCATTTTTTTGTATATGAGACCAAAATATACCTGGATTTTAATGTTGGAGTATTTCTCTAAGACTCTAGTCTTTCTAATAGTTAATTACCCAAAAAAAGCAATCATCTAGTTCTTAGATATATCATTTAAACATGACCACCCTAAACTTTGTAATGAATACTGACTGCTAAATTTTTGTATTTTTGTTAAGGCCATAAAGATTCTTCAATCAAATCTATCGTGGACTTAACTTGGACACATGTTCTTTGGCTAAATTAGTTGGAGGTTCTTATGAATTAATGTTGGAAGACGGCCTAATACCAATATAATAAAGACATCCTTTCCAACAGTACCCTCCAGTGACAGATTCATTCAGAACATTTTGATCAGTTAAATGTTCCCTGGCAGTAGTATATGTGAATGATCCATCAAGGAATGGAATGAGTAATCTGCTAAACCTCCCTTTAACTCTTCTCATTCTTTCCTGAAAGCAAAAAGAATAACAATTTAAATGAATCAAGTGTTCATTTTTAAATCTACTGAGCTTCCACAAAAGGCTAGCTACCAAACAAAACATTTATAGAAATAGGAAAAGCTTCCAGACTTACTTTTTTAAAAAAGATGCTAAATATATTACATTGCAGCCTTGAATGATTAAATTTATCTTACAGAAATATGGCAGTCAAATGAGTTTAGTTCTAGTTTTTAATTACCCTGTAAGTAGATTAATTTATTAGAACAAGAATGTCTGGTCTTGTGCACACATTGACTAACATTAATTACTTCACTGCCAAAAAAGCATCACACATATAGATGAAGCCACAGGCCAGGTTAAGTCCTTCTTAATAGGTTCTCAAATAAGGATCTTTATTTTTCTGCCTGAGGTGAAAAAATAACAACTTCAAATCATCAGAAGCCCAGACTCCTCCAACCACAACACTTTCTAACAGCTCCACCTCTGGTTTGGAGTTTTACGGAAATATTTGTGCAGAGAATATGCAGCAGGGAGTTACTGGCACAGGCCATATGTTCTTCTATATAGAATATAAAGTCTTTGCAAACCATCAGACGATGACAGGGTGGGCTTTAGCTAGAAATTCTAAGCATAAGTTGAGTCAAGTATCCAGAGGAAATTATGTGTAATAGTAAAGGTGGATGCGGTGAAATACATACTTCGAGGGTCTGAGAGGTAGAAACAAGAATATAAATTTCTAGCTATCACTTCCCAAATTATAACAACCCCCGGCAAGTAACTCCTAGACACAGCAGCTCCAACAACAGTTATTCTGTTTGCCCGTGAGCACAGAGTGGCTTAGACCTGCTGTGCTGCTCCCATGGAGGACCCCTTCCTGCCCGACACTATGGAATCAACACATACCGAGGTAGCCCAAAGTGGCAATCTGTGCTCCTTGTTTAAGATAAAAAGAAGCACAAAAATCCAGTATTCTTAGTGAAGGTTTACATTAAATATTAGATGGCTTTTGTTTTAAAAAATATTCCAATGCACATTTTTAATTCAAAATCATGGCTACTAAAATTTTCTGACTTAGATGATTCTGTGTAATTCATGTAGCATCTAAATTAAACAAAGGGCATCTGAGTCTAGTAGGCGAGCTGTACGTGCTCTCTCCCTAGGAACTCATGGAAGCAATCAGTTTCCAGCAGGTGAGAGGCACAGATCACACAGAAGACTGGGAGTTCTGACAGGTGATTGCAATGTGCTCCCCTCAGAAAGGTGAGAACGAAAAATTCAACACGGCACATGGTGGAGAGGCAGTCAACCGGGGCAGATGCTGCCGGCAGTGCCCTATGGCACCGGCCTGCTCAGTACACAACCGACGAGGACAGACCCCTGAGGGTCCCGGATGCAGCCTTTGCACACCACCCACGTCTTCCTGTCTGAAGACTCACAGTTCCCTTTCCCTAGGTCCACATGCATATGCCTCTTTACCATAACAGCCCTAAGGTAACAGGCATGAGGCTCTGCTCCACACAATCCAAGAACAAAGTTAAGAGTTGACCAAATAGAAAAACCAGACTCCTATTTCTCATGATTAAAGTCGTATGTTTGTATAACCCTACTAAGGATATTAGAATTTCACAGATATTCAAAAATACTCCATTTATGAAAGTGTAATAAATCAGTACAATCACTGGAAAATTATCTGTATGTAGTAATAGTGCTGTGGCTGTGTCTAGATGTCCGCTCAAAGCTTCATGCAGTCTTAGGTGGGGATTTTTCAGAGGTGGCTGAATCTAGAGTGTATGATTGATTCATGGTGCAATACTAGGGTTAAGGGTGGGTGATGACTAAATCAGTCCACTGATTGGTTTGGCCCTGCCCTAATCCCAGTAGCCTGGATACAATAAAAGGGACAGAGGCTCGTCTGATCCCTTGCTTGCTTCTGCTGTCTTCTGCCTGTCATGGACTGTTTCTCCTCTGTGACGCCCCTCTGCCGTGTGCCACCCTGCCTTGGAGCCAGCCGAGTATGGACTGAAACTTCTATGAACTGTGAGTCAAATGAACTTTTCCTCCTGTAACTCTGGATGTCCGGTATTTTGTCTCACAATGACAAGACGAGAGGACTCTGTAGAGAACAATCTCCCTCTTATGTATGTGTGTGAGGGTCAACACTCAACCACCGTAGGCTCCACCCGAGTAAGGACCATGCCTGTCTCATCACTGTGTACCTAGCTCTGCCCCGAGCCTCATATTTTTAGTGAATAGCCAACTTAGAACACTCAAAGTTCATACACATAGAAAGCTTCCTTTTAACAAGTCTCCAAGATAAAAATGGAAAGCCGGTTCAGTGACAGCTGACTACTGTCCAGCGCACCAGGGCTGTGACCCTGAATGAGTCTCTCGGCCTCTCTGGACGTCAGCTCCTTGCTCATCACACGAGGACCCGAAGGAAAGTGACTGCTCTGACATCTTCCAGGGACCTGAGGCCTGCAGAGCCATGCCCCAGGGTTCGTACAGACACCCTGAAGTCTGGCCACAGGCTCCTCCTGGGACACTGCTTCAGACCCAGGCGCAGCGCTTGCTCTGGAGGGAGAGCACATCACTGAGGGAAGAAACTTCACTCATGCTCTCTTCTGAAATCGCAAACTCAGCAGAGCGCTCTGCACTCGTGAGACTCTAGGGGTGCAAAACAAGCAGTGCAAAGGTGTGCCGCCCCAGCCACTTCCCTGTAAGTCCTGCAGAAGGAACTGTGGGTATAGGACAAAGACCAGTCCATTTCAGCACAACAGGGTTGTCAGTGCTGGGGATCAGCGGTTATGGGAAACAATCATTTTACAATGAAAACAGCAATTCATACACTTAATAATTCACTCCAAACATACCCAGTTACCAACTCACTGGGCCTTCTTACTATGTGTGGCTGAATTACCTTATGAATCTACATCCATTTGCTCTCTCAAACACACACACACACACACACACACACACACACACACACACACACACACAGCAGGGGAGGGCAGAAAGGGAGTACAGGTTCCATACAGTCTCTACAGCCAGACCTATACACGCAAAGCCCAAATTCCTGCCCCTTCTTTCCAGGTCTGCCCTTGGCAGGAGAAAGGACAAATGGGGGCTGTCTTCCTTGTAGGTATCCATTAGGGCTGCAGTGCCCTATACATTTAACCTGTGACATTCTATTCTGTTGAAATAATTAAATTACAGCTCTGCACATGTCCATGTCTCCAGATTAAAGAGGCCTGGGCTATAAATTACACCTGCAGGTCCGACTGACAGAGCAAACAAGGCTTATTTATTTAAACCTGTTCTGTCATAGTGTTGACATATGAAAGGGACGTTCAGGTGAACACGTAGCAGAAATGGGCCAAGCATGCATCGCCATGATGCACGTATACAGACTTTCTCTCCTCCAGGTGACGTGCCCCAAATGTAACTGGGTCAGTATGTTCAGTCCTGACAGTTTACGTCCTCACCATAGACTTGGAACTGGCTGGTACTGGCTCCCCTCCCAAACCACTGCCCTTCCTGGCCTGCTGTTTCCTTGGGGACCCTGTCCTCGTGTTTCTCTTGGGGTTCCACCAACAGGCAGGATCCGCTGGCTAGAAAAAGACCAGGACTGATTCCTTGCGATCTCTCACACCAGGTTACATCTCAGAGTGGCCGAGTTCCTGGGGCTCAGGCCCTCATCACTGCTCTCACTGGCTCCAAGAATGACCACCTCGATCCTCCGGCCTCTGCAGGCTTGGGGTGGCCTGGCTGCCTTCTGACTCCGGCCCTGGGTGATTCATTTGTTGAATGCGTCACCTGTTTGGCAAAGGACAAGAAGACTGAAGTAAGGGAGCCAAGCACCTGGCCCTGGGTGTGTGAGTGCCTGGTGACCCTTAGGATCGGTGGCTCCTGTAGTCACGGGTTCCTGTAAGTCACGGGAGGTGCTGCACACCCAGCTTCCCTGCCAGGCTAAACCAAGTGGAAAGAATATCTCTGCTGACCGCACGTCATCCACAGTCCCACATTGTCGCAGAAACAGGAGGTTCCACGACAGAAGGGAGCGAGTGAGGAGACAATAGATCTGTTTCTATGTACCAGGGTAGAGACCAAGAAGTGACAAGTGGTAACAGCTCTGTGAGTACCAACGCCTCCCCACATACACACAGGCACACACGCACACGTGTATACAGACACAGGCACATGCCCATGATGAGGAAGCCTCTGGGAACTTAGCATCATGCTAAGTAAGATGTGTGCTCACTGAGAGGCGTGGCTCAACAATGTCTGGCCCCGAACAAGTGCTGACCACAGGTGGCCCTCTGCACTACACCTGGCTTCAGCGCTGGAGGGCAGCTCACCAGTCACTTCTAGGAACCAGAGGTGACCTCAGCTGACCATGGGAAACCTCTCAGCTGCGGCTGAGCCTCACCGGGACTGGAGAAGGCAGTGATGGTGGACAGCGCACACAGGACACAGGTGCAACGCTGCTTCACCTGTTGCCTCCCCCAGGGCCCAGCAGGGGGTTCTAGCATCCACTGGGCACACAAACGGCACGGAAGGCTCCCTGTGGCCCTGCCTCTCCTCCCACCTCCTCACTCTGTCCACACAGGCACAGACCTCCTCCCATGCAGCGATCAGATGGTCTTAAAAGCTACCCCTACCTCCCTTCCTGCAATTTGGGCTGCCTCACTAGTAATTAGAGAGATTAGAAAAACAGGATGTGCTGCAACCCGCATTCTGGTAACTACCGATTTGTCCAGCTGATTATTTCTCTCTGGAAGGGGTGTTATTTTTCTTTCTTTCTGTATTATATAACCCTGAAAAGAGCTCACAAAGGAAACTCTGCAGAAGAAAACTGTGCTGTGCATGCCCCTGGTCCTGATGGGCAACTTTTTAGCAGACTTCATTTTTTAGAGCAGTTTTAGGCTTACAGAAAAATTCCACCTAAAGAACAAAGCTCTTAGATCCTCTCTCCCAAGGTACAGTTTCCTTTATTACAAATGCATTGTCCTAGTGGGGTACAGAAGAGTGATGAGCCAGTATTGACAGATTACTATTAATATGAGTCCTTCATTTATACCACAGGTCTTTCTAAGGCACAGTTTTACGGACTTTGACCAAGACAGGCCAGCCGGACCACATGTTGACACCATGCACAGATCCAGCTTTCAGGCACTGTGCGTCAGTGCTGAGGACCAACAGGCTGCGAGGCCCCTGAAGGAGCGGTGGGACCACGGGCAGCCACCCAAGCCAGCGCCCTCATCTGCAGAGGGCCCACAGCGTGAAGACGAGGGATGTATGTGCGAAGTGCCTGAGATATGGCTGCACAGAGGACACTGACGTGGCAGCTCCTAGGGTGTTCACACCAACTCAGCCACCGTGCAAATCCACAGTCATCGTGGGCAAAGTCGAGGCAGTTTTAAAGAGGAACTTTCTGCTCAGTCCTACCCTAGTGCTCACCTGCCATTCATTTCTTTTCTAGTCTTCCTTTGTCCAACTTCCTTTTCAAAGCAGCTCACATCCTCTATTTCCCACTGACTGCATTAGGTCTTCTGCCCTAACCTTTGCACCAAGGTCACCAAATGCCCTGCAGCTTCCAAATCTGACTGAGACGTCATTGCTTAGCGTCTTCAATTCCCCAGGTGTAATTCAGTTTTAATTTGAACTTCTCTCCTCCGTCAACTACCATGACAACTATCTGCCATTCTGCACTTACCTCTCCAGCCTCTCCTTCCTGGCTCTCTGCAGTCGTTCTCAGCCCTAATCCTAGTGTGTGTCCTGCAGAAACAACCTCAGCTCCACTGCGGCAGGACCCGTGTCTTCCTCTCCTCCGTTACAGTCTGGAGCCCCACGCACCTGCGGGCCAGCTCCTCAGACTCCACAGAGCTCCTCACCTCTTCCATCCCACCTTGCTCCTGTTCCTCACCCCACCCCTCGCCCTGGGTGAGCCCCACCCTCCTCCACGACCCAGACTTCTCACAAAAGGACATCACAGCACCTCCCAGCAGAAACCCTGCCATTCTGTCCAGTTCCCAAATCTAAAATACCCCTAAACGCACCTCCTTCTCCCCAGATCACATCTCTCATGTACACGCATAGCCCAGCACACACTGAATCATCCCTGCACAACCAGCACCCAGGGCACAGATCTCAAATGTGTGCCTCAGCAAAGTCACCCATCCCGTGCCACAGACAAAGCTGGCACTAGGGGCTCTGGCGGCAGATGTTGCCTCTTACTTCAGTCTCCCCAGTCTCTGGCATAATGCACCCTGGCAGAGTCAATACTTCCAGAAGTGTGGGGGAAAGACGGGGAGAGCACAGAGGAGTTCGGGTCCTTTCTCAGGAGAATGACAGCAGAGAAGAGGGCGGGCTCTGCCTCAAGTGGAAGGAAGCACGTGAAACCTCACTAGTGACATAGGCAGGGCTGATGCTATACAAGAAACAGCAAAACGACAGCACATGTACCAGGCAGACCACAAGCCAGCACCTGTAATTCACTAAAGTTATGGGTACATGTCACAAACCAAGGCTTCAGATTCGCAAGAAGCACACTTCAAACCTGAAAACAACAAGCCAGGCACTGGGAGGATGCTTGAGAAGCCCCAGGCACCATAGCCGAGCCCTTGCTTTGGGAGGCGGATGACAAAGCACTCTCTCCGCACTCCGCACTGGGCCCTGGGCCAGAGTAACATCAGTTCCCAGACATATCTGCTTCAGAAGGCACATTTGCCCTCCGGATCCTAAATGTCCCCCAGAGGCCCCAGCCAGGAGCAGTGTTTGTGGGGAGCTGTGTGGAGGTGGCTGGGAGGTTTTCTGTGGGCTGTGACTCCCAGGGCACTGTGGGCCCTGACCCTCTCTGCTCTCTTTTGCTGCCTGGTCATGAGGTATCCTCAACACCCGCCTAAAAGCAATGGGATTTCCTAAGGGACTGGAATTCCCGAGCCCATGAGCCAAGATGAGCCTTTTCTTTTGCTAAGTTCGTTAGCATTTTCGAGGGAGAGAGAGCTGTCTAACACAATCTCCATTAGAAAGCAGAAGCCTCAAAGCTTATTCTAAAATGGATTCAGAAATCAGGCCTTTATAATTAAAACAGATTTAAGGGCGTAATCAAATGAGGCATGAAATTATTTATTCCAAGAAAGGCACTCGATTGAGCTTAGCTGGACTCAAACAAGAATGTGAAGTATAACCTTCACCTTTCATTTAGCACTCCTTACCAAATTGGGAAATATATTCATTAATTTAGTGTTTAGCTATCCAAAGATAAGTAATACTCAGATAACTGCATGGGGATCATGAGTTATTCTAATTGGCCAGTGTTTCTACACTGGAAAAGCTTCCAAGAAAGCTTATCTCACACCCTCAAACCCAAAGTGACCTCAAGCAGAAAGCGTCTTGCCATCTGACCCCTACTTTTCAGATGCACAAACTCGCAGGGGCACAGGCGATGCCCAGAATGGGGTGTTGAATGCAGCCCTCTCCGTCTGCATCTCTGCCCAGTTGCGGGCCACCAATGGTCAACTCTGAAGGAGCCGTGAGGCCGAGGTGCCGGGCTGTCCTCGTCCTGTCTCTCCACTCTCCTCGCTGCACAGGCATAAGCATTAAGAAGGCCATCTGCAGAAAGCTATGGCACCCGCCGGAGATGGGGCAGAGAGCAGGGAAAGGAGAGGTGCCTGTCCTGGCCCAGCCTGACTGTCTGTGCCTCTAGGCACCACCATTAAGCCTGTTCCTGTCCCTGGGGCCCAGTGCTCTGTTAGCACCAGTGTTTCTCGCCCCACGTCCTTCCTCCACCTCACTTCGTGGGCAGCCCCTCCACTCACTTCCTCTGTGGACTGCGTCCTCCCTGGGCCTGACAGCAGGGCACACCAGACACTACGGTGTCACTCAGGTCCCCTCTGAGAATGCTGATGCTCAGCAACAAAACTCAAACTACCAAACTGGAGAATGGACAGAGGACTTGAGTGGACACAACTCCAGAGAAAATCTGCACGTGGCCAGTAAGTGCAGGAAAGGCACCAGAAGCCAGACACTAGGCAGATGCAAAGGAAACCAGGAAGATGTTGCTCCATTAGAATGGCTATTGTCAGAAGGAAGTGGGGCAAGAGGAAAGAGGAAGAGGACAATGAGAAGGACGAAGGGGAGGGGAAGAGGGAGGAAGGAAGGAAGCAAGGGAGGGAAAGAAAAAGCAAAAGAACAAGTGTTGGCAAAGGATGAAGAAACTCAAGTCCGGCAGCTTGCTGCAGAAATGTAAGATGGAGCACCACTGTTCAAGACTGTGGAAATTCCTCAAAAACTAAACACAGAATCACCACGTGAACCAGCAGTGTCACTCTTGGGTCCACACATGAAAAACGAGGGGAAGAGAAAGCAGCGACTCAAACCCTGCAGACTGAGTTCAGGAGATGGGGACAAGCTCAGAGCAGAGCGCTCGCCTGGTTCCAGGCTGTTAGCAGCAGCACAGCCACCAAAGGTGGAGCGACCCAAGCGCTTGCCGCAGGTGAGAGGGGCACAGATACAGTTATTCAGCCTTCACAGCAGGGAGTTTGGACACGTGCTGCAACAGGGCTCAGCGTGCAGACAGTATGCTGTGTGAAATAACGTCAGTCATGGCAACACAGTGTAACAGTCATGTTACATGAGGGCCCTAAACAATTCACAGAGGTGGGACACAGGATGGCAGCGGCCAGGACTGGGGCCGGGGCAATGGCAGTTATTGTCCAGTGGGTACCAAGCTCCAGCTCGGAGATGTCAAGGTCTAGAGACAGATGGTGGGGAAGGTTGTACAACAATGGAAACCAAGGGGTGTATTTGAAAACACTCAAAATGACGCATTTTGTTATATACTTAGATTACCACAATTTAAAAAGTGAAACCCTAGGACTGGGCAAAGCTGCATGAGGGACTAGCCAGGAGACTGAAGGTGGGAGGTGCCGGCATCCAGAGCCCTGAAGAGGGGAGCGCTTCCTCCTTCTGTGCCCAGGAGCGAGCTCAGGCCCACCCTACATCCGTGAATGCAAGGCTGCACCTAAATTTCAACCAAGAGCAAGAATGAGCAGAAGAGAACACACTTATAAGAGCAAAGATGGGAGCTTCCAGAGAAGCAGAAGAAATCTAAGAAATATACGCACAGGCACAGACACCAAGAGAAGGAGCGGAGGGGCCACAATGCAAGTGTAGCTGACCCACCACGCAGTGCCGAGAAGACTCACGCTGCAGACCCCAAACTGGGTGGGGTTCAGCCGAGTCTGCACAGCCCAGCCGAGGGAAGGAGAGCAGACGGGTACCCCAGCGACAGGGAGGCAGGAAGCAAGGGGCGAGTTCTTCCTCCCTCTCCCTTGCGCTGGTGCTGCTGTTGTTCTGCAGCGTGGATTGGCCAGTGCCCACCCACGTAGAGGACAACACTTCACCAAGCCCACCAGTTCAAATGCCAGTCCCACCCGGAGGCACCCTCAGACAGCCAGTACAGCTGCAGCGTTCAGGCTGGACACCCCGCAGCTACCCCAGGGCGACACAAAAAACTCACCTTTACCCCTTCTGCAGTTAAGGCTTGTCTCCTCCTAGGATTGTAAACTTGTTGGGAATACTGTAAATTCTATGGGACAATTTTATAAAAGCTCTGTTCCTACCAAAACTTTAAGTTATCATTTCCCCCAAAGAGTATCTTCACATTTATCTACACTTTGAGAGAAGCATTTTCTCAATCTCCCCTCATTGGAAAATTAATATAAGCTATGAATTTCTAGTCATATTTGGTTAGAATTGTTTTCCTCTTGTCCTTAAATGCACATGTGTGATATCCACAATACATATTTCAGTATAGTACTTTAGAGGGATGTTTACAACTGTACAAGCACCCTGCCTTTGCAAACTCACATCTCCAAGGGTAACGGCAACCACACTCAATCTCATGCCAACTTTTCTCACCCATCAAGTGAGCACATTTCTATAAGGAAATAAAAGAGCTGTTTACTGCTTCCATCCAGATGTGCTCTACTGCTCAAAGTGAGGTGACAGTGAGGACCTGGAATGTAGGAGCCCCGGAAGGACTGAAAATAAACCCATGCCAGCCTCGACGCTACCTTTAGCACGGCAGGATTTCCCATCTATAATCTGCTATGGACACCCTGTGTGGCCTCACAATCTCCGAGCCACACGGCTGACAGTCGGGAGCTGCTTCTGCCCAGGAAGGCTCTGAACCTCTCCAAGCCGCACCATCACCAAGGTCCATTACCCACTCCATCCACCGCCATTCCCTCCTCACAGCTGCACACACGAGTCTCCGCGGAAACCATATCTGTCAAACACAAATCCCCTGCGCTGGGGTCCAGGCCCTTCCTGGTGTCGTGCACAGCCCGTCCCACCCTTCCTGCTGGCCGGAAGTCACGACTCAGTCCCCTTCCCTCAGCTGTTCTTCCACGCTGGCCGCTGCTGAGCAGGAGGCCTTCGCGACTTCTGCTTCCACGACTGAAAGGCTCGGTGCCGGAGTTTTGTCAAACCTGCGCCTTCCGCTCAGCTTCTCCACTCCCACACTTGTAGGGGTCCACAGTTTCCCAACTGAAACCTGCAATAAACAATCTGACGCTGGTCTGGCTATGAAACACTTGAAATCTGGCTCAAATGGAATAAACATGAAATATACAACTGACCGTCACTAAAGCGTGATGCAGTTATTTAAAAGCAATCACTGCCTTGCTGTTCCTTGGTGAGGATGAGTATTCTGACCACAAAAGAGTAGGCCTTGTTTCAGGAAAGCAAGCTCAGGTCTTGGAGTGGCTGCATCACCTGACTCATGTCCGCACCCACACACTCGGGCTCCAGGCTGGGGAGAGTCAGAAACCCACAGAAGTACGATGCAACCAGAGCATGGTTTGGCTGGTGAGACAAGAGGAGACGCCAGAGGCTGTGGAAACCAGCACCAAGTGCCCCCTTCCGAAGGAGCCAGCTGGGGCTAAAGCCAGCATCTGGCCCACAGAAATGCAGGCTGCATGGCCTGTAATCTTCTGACTTTTCTAAAGCAGCTCCTGATCAGGATGTTAACAAATTCCACTTTATTTTTTAATAAAACCATTTATAGCCCAGTCTTATGCAGACCCCACCAAACACATCTTCAGGCTAGATGAGACTTTATGGGCCAACATTCTGGGACCTATGATTAGGCGATCTCTATTTTCCTTTTTTTTTTTTTTTTGAGACAGGATCTCACTATGTAGTGGAGACTGACCTGGAACTCACTGTGTAGCCCAGGCTGGTCTCAAACTCACAGTGATCTTCCTGCCTCAACCTCCCAAGTGCTGGGATTACAGGCATGCACCACTGCACCCAGCCTGCTCTATTTTCCTTTCTATTGTAAAGTTTTCTGATTTTTTTCCTCTGAGCGCTTATTGAATAAACTAATGAGATTTCATAATTTACCCATTTTTCCATTAACATGACTGACAGGAAGTATCAGACGACATGACATGACAGAGAAAATGCAAGCTATGAAT